TTGCTGCTATTGCTGTTGCTGTTGCTGTTGCTGTTGTTGCTTCTGTGGGGTTTCAGGTGCGTAGCGGACATCCGTTGTTCTCTAGAGGCCAGCGGTGCATGCGTTGCTTCTGTTGAGAATTATATAAATTCTTCATGGACACATCTCGTTACTTCCTCTGACGTCACTACGCGGGTCTGCAAGGTCCTTTGCTGCCTCGCTATCTGGCTTATCGTTACCTATACCCTCACGCAGGTATGTTGTGATGCTGCTGCCGCTGCTGCTGCTACTGTTGATGCTGCTGCTGCTGGTGCTGCTGGTGCTGCTAGTGCTGGTGCTGCTGGTGCTGCTGGTGCTGGTGCTGCTCCTGGTGCTGCTCCAAGTGTTGCTGCTGCTGGCGCTGCTGCTGGCGCTTCTGGTGGTGCTGCTGGTGATGGTGTTTCTGCTGGTGTTGGTGGTGCTTGCGTTGCTGCTACTGGCGCTGGTGCTTGCGATGCTACTACTGGTGTTGCTGCTGCTGCTGGTGTTGGTGCTGCTGCTGGTGTAGCAGGTGTAGCTATCTTTCTGGTGTATGTATTTGGGTTGTTTTTGGTGGGGTTGTGAATTGTGCTGCAGGCGCCTCGAGCCCTAGGAACTGTGGGTGCCTGCGTGTTTCCTTGTATGTTTATACTGCTGCCTTCATTGGTGTTGATGGAGATGACAGCTGATGATCAGAAGTATAATATGACGGATATATTTAAATTACCTCCGCCATCTGCATCTCTAAGAGAAAAATATTTTTGTGTTGTTATGCTTCCTTTATTATTATATATGCCTGGTGATGGTGTTGTTCTTACTGTAGCTTCATATGATAAACTATCACATAACCCAGTTCTTATTAGTGTTGTATGCTTAACAGCCAAGTGGCTCGTTGCTTATATGTTATTCTATCTTCTATTCTACGCAGAAGGACTCGCCTTTGATCCACAAAGTAAGTCTTTATACACCTGCTGCTGCAGCAATCATATACACAAGTGCTGCTGCAAAAATATATGTATATATCTTGCTGCAGCAATCATACAACACTGCTGCTGCTGCAGCAACTGTGTATATCTGCTGCTGCAAGAGTCACCGAACGCAGCTGCTGCTGCTGGAACTATATGTGTGCCTGCTGCTGCAGCAATTGTATGTATGTGTGCTGCTCGTGCATCGACATAACACTGCTGCTGTTGCAGCAAGTATATGGATATCTGCTGCTGCAGCGATCATACAACATTGCCGCTGCTGCAGCAACCACATGTATAGCTGCTGCTGCTGCTGCTGCAGTTACATGACATAGCTGCAGTTGCAATAAACTAGGGTTGGCTGCTGCTATACACACAGCACAACCACTGCTGCAGCAACTATA